TCTGGACTGGCCCACTAAATGAAATTACAGTGGTTACACTAATCGCACGGCCAGTCATTCAGTCAGTTTGTCAATCAATTTTAGGTAGCTAGTAGCTACATGTGTATCCATCAAACGCGTGTCAAGTTTTGTCATCTAATAAAGCTTATGGAGCGCTAAATTGGATTTGCATACATTATTGGTAGGCATGATGGGGAGTACGAGTACCTTTTCACGCTTTAATGTCCGTATTGAAGCGTGAAAATTCCACTCATTTCAGGACATTCACATTGATCAGCCAAAAAGAAAACCCAAATTTAGGTATTTCAATTTAGCTTACGGCAATGAATATTTTCTAATACCCACTGCCATCGCTGAACAAGATTTCGGTTGATGTGTTTACATTTGATTGCCGTAAATGCGATTAGGCTGAGTGACTTCAAAGTGTCTAAATTCGATTTCGTTTTCCCTGAAAGGGAAATTGCCAGCAAGGAAGCAAGAGACATTTCCTAATTTATGCTTAATAAGACCCGCAATCGTAAATCTTCTAGGTGGAGCTGTGCATGTATGTGCCTGCCCTTGGGGGTCATAAATAAAGCCCTGAATCCAAAGGGAAAAATCTGCACATAAAGTGAGCCGAATGCAGCAACTCTAGCTCTTTTTTTTCATCCCTGACACAGCTTGCATTTTAATGTCCTTCGTGGATAGTGAGAGAGCCTAGAGCCAGGCGAAAGGTCAACATAACGCGTTTTCCTGCGGTCGATTCGCGTGTAGAACTCCTGCCCCCGGGATTCCCCTTTTCCCACTGCGGTCAGCGCAACGGTTTGAAATTACGACCCAACCCAATCCAACCAGAAAGGGACACAGCTACAGGGCATGGCTGAAATGAGATGAAAATATGGCTGCAGTTGCAGTGCTGCCATTTTGTCCTTTTTCCGGACAGATCTGTCCTTTTTTTAACGGCTTTATCCGGAAAAAATTTCAAACATCCCCTATCCGGAAATCTGTCCTTTTTTCAAAAATAAGGTTTTGAGTGTTATTTTTGCTAGTCGAAAGTGTATAAACCTGTTTTTATATGCTAAAATGATTTTCTAACCATCATTTTTATAGTTCGGCTCTTAAAAAATAATTTTTTTTACAAATTATTAAAGAGACGTAAAGCAGTCGATGGATTTTCTTTATGGTACGATTTTTTCTGTAGCAAAAAAAAAGAGGAAAACACTTTAAAAATTTCTCAATTTTTACTCTCTGCTTTTTTGTCAGAAAAAAATTTCAACGACTCTTATTCGGGTTTGACGCAGATTAAATTTTTTTGTATTACCAATATAGTTACTTGAAATGCTTTTATTATTTTAATAATTTTAGATTATTACGTATACGCATAAAAATTTACCATGGTAAAATGATCAAACAAAGAAGGTTGTGAGTCGGGAGCATTAGATCATTACATAATTGAATTTTATTTAAAATCCATTTATACTAAGTAAATATACAACCCATTGGTAAAAACAGAAAAATGGAGGCGCATTTACTTTTGTCCTTTTTTTTGTCCTTTTTTTAAATTTTTTGTCCTTTTTTTCCCTGTTTTTTGTGGCTTATCTGTCCTGTTTTTCAAGCTAAGCGATGGCAGCACTGTGCAGTTGACTAGATGGCCATAAACATGTTACATGATCCGCTGCCAAAGGGGAAACTCAGGCCAAAAGCCGACAAGCTGCACAGGGTTGCCAAGCAACCTGGCGAAACCAGCTCATTTGCATGACTGCATACACAAAAATTAATTGGGGCTTTAAGAATGGATAAGGTTTGAAGAGGTAAGCGCGCAACCACTTATGAATATATGGTATATTAGGGATAGATTATGCTAATTGGGAACATCTTCACTTAAAAGTGGTTAGATAAATTTCAGACTTAAAAGACTTATCGACCATTAAGTGAATCAAATAATTTACATAACAAATATAATTATTTTACAATTAAGTGTTTCTTCGCATTTAAATTTGTATTTAAAAATAAAGGTTTTTTTTTTGTTTAAAAAGTTACAAAATAAAATTAAAAATTGTATAATTAAAAGAAAAATTAAAAAAAAATAATATTTCATTTAAAATCTGAACTAAAATCCAATTCAACTTCTGAAAGAAAGAAAATTTAACTCATTTTATGTAACTAATTTTTTTAAAATATGTTCTATACATAAAGTTGTTTTATTCAGCTTTTTGATTAAAGTCACTTTGCCGATGAATGTATCGATTGATTAGTAAAACTTATCCTGCACTTGGCAACCCATTAGAGGCTCCCCAATCCCCCCGCCTCCGCCTCTGGGTTCCACTCATTCCCAGGAGTAAATTCCTGCAGCCAAGGTCCGGGAAAAAATCAAATTACTCCATTTGCATGCGGAAAGTGCAGGGGAAAATGGGAGGCGAAATCGTGTTGAAGCAGAGTATGTACATGCATAAATAGTTTACGCCCACTGGGCTTCACATTGGGCTCGCATTACTGAATCCTTGCTGTGCACCACGTGGCGTATGAGTAACGCAACGCCTTATTAGGCCAGGCAACTTTATGAGGGACCCGAAGGTTATCAAGTGCCGGACCAGAGCACAAAAAATGACGCAGGCAAATTATTTTGCTTGTTTATTCTTTACTTTTATTTCGCTACATTTTCGCCCTTTTTGCTGTTCGACACAGAAATGTAAATGAAATTTACTAAACGAATTTTCTTGTTAAACGTCACAAAAATGGCCACGCCCCATGCCGAGCTGATTTCGAGTGCAGCGGGGGAAGGTTTGGAGGGTGGAGGTTTAGGGGTGTGAGATGACAAACCTTAATGCCTTTTTGGGTAGCAACGACAGGCGCCACAATTCTGGATACACAGACGAAAAATGGCATTATTATTTTTATTCGCTTCTCATTAAAATATATTGCGGATATGGCAAAATAAATATTTGAAATTGGTTTAAGGTCATAAATTAACAATTCAATAAATAATAAAATATAAATTTTTATTTTCATAACTTCCATAAATAATATTAATAATTCAAATGGTTTCAGATTTTTATTCGGAATTTGGATGTTACATTTAAATCATTTAAATTAAAAGAATTTTGAATTATTAAAAAAAGTACTTAGAATTGGGTTTATAATATTTTATACTTCCATTGATTGCAAATTTTGCCTGAGATTTATCCGATACTTTGGGCAGAAATATTTTTTTTCAAGCGAAATAAAGTCTAAATATTTTAAGTTCCTAAAAAATCTTGTAATGAGTCTTATTATTTATTTTAAAATTAGAGTAGATATTTAAGATTTTGTAATATTTGCCTAATATTTTTTAATTTTTTTGCAAACGTCTAGAGAATGACGACCACTTGACAGGCACTGGCTCAACATGCATACAAGTCCTTTGCCATCCTGGGATGTTTTCGTTGTTATTGTGGAAGGACAACGCTCACTTGGCTTGCCTTTTGTTTTGCAAACAAAGCAAAGTGGGCGGCGGCGACAGGAAGGGCGGAATGGTGGAATGGCAATGGGAGGCCATGGCGGCAGCAAGCCATAAATCAATTGGCAGCGTAGAAAAATTGCAGAAAATTACTTGATATTTACGGTCACTGAGCACACAATAGAGCCGGCCCCTCCCACTTTCCGCTCGTTCGCCCCCTTTTCCGCTGCCGCTGACAGAAAGCAACAAGTATTGCCCGGCATCCGTGACACTCAGGGACAGCGACAGGACATTTGCTGGCTATAATTACACTTGTACCTTGCAAACGGGGCCACATGTCGTATTAGTAATAAGTGCCAAGGCCAAGGACGTTGGCCAAAAGGGGTTGAGGGCGGTCTGGCTATAATTTAATAAACGTCGATGTTGACAACTGGACTTCTTTTAGATCAGTTTAAAACGAAAAGGTATACATTTTGAACAACTTTTAGATAATTAAATTTAATTTAAAAAAAGAATAAAATTCTTTTGGACTAAATAAATACATTTTTCGAATATAATTTATTCAAAATATTTTATAAAAATGTCGTATATATTCTTTTAGGAAGTAAGTAAATTTACATTCTTTCCAAAATGAAAATATATTTTGAATCGAGAATGACGTTGCCTACTTTTAAGCACCTTGGGTTCCTCAAATGAAGCCATTCATATTCCTCTTACACCGAAGCAATTTAATAGTTTTATGGAAGATTTTTAGTTTCATCTGGGAAAGAAGCCCCCCCTGTACGGCTCCCATGTTCCATGATGCACTACTCTGGCAACGCTCTCCAGGAATATCCTCCAGCTGGGAGACAAAAGGCAAATGAAAGAGGGGCCCGGTGGCTCTGCATGTAATTATTCTGTCATCCGAGGTGTGTCACCCAGTCGAAGGAGATGGAGGAACTCCTGGGTACGGGGGTATTGGGAATGGGATTGGGGAGGGCCTTCAGTGGGATGACAAAAGACAGGCGGCCAGATGGCCTTGCCCTCTGACCCCGTCCTGGTTGTTTATGGCCACCCAGTGCTGTACATGTGCCGTAATTGCATTGTTGCCGTTGTAATTACAGGCAAACATGCAGTTAATTAAAATCATTAAAATGCCTTTGCCTTTTGCCTTTGAGCCTCGAAGACAGCTGAAGGAAGAGGAGCGTTTTAATTTCCGCCGAGGGGAAGGATGTGCCTTTTGCAACTGGCGCCCAACTGTCACATCGCCGAGTGCAAATTATTTTGAATTTTTTCTTGGTTTTCTTTTCACGTGCCTGGCACAGACTTTTGTTTGAAACTGTGAAGGATGGCAGAGTGCCGCATGTCGTCTGGGCACGATTTTGGGCCAAGGAATCCTTGGATTGATTTTGATTAATGCTCCGACTGTCGCAAGTCGAGCAAATAATTTTAACGCTTGCCAAAACATTCCCAAGTGACAAGCTCGTGTAAAAGTCAAATATATAACACACATCAAAGGCGTTCAAGGGACCACGCGTCAACGGCAGACATGGCAACCGAGTCACTTGAATTGTTAATTGTTCCTGCGAAACTTTATTTTTACACGCTCCATCAGTCATCGTGGGCTGAAGGCATTTCGAATGGCACCTCATACGAGTCGTAAACCACCAGATGAACCTTCTCGAGCAGCGAAAGTCCCTTCAGTCGTGCATTCCGTTCGCTCTGCAGACAAAGGAGACCCAATTCCGTGCGACACTTGGAGCAGTGCAGATGCTGGAACCTCTCCCCATCCGTCGCTCCGATCCTGTCGTTTTGTATTAGGTTAAAGGTCCTGGTCAATAGCAAATCATAGGGCGTCTCATTTAATTTGCAGGATTTGTAGCCGATTATATTGCCACAATAGCGGCAGGCATAGACGACCTTAAAGCCAGACATTTGAAACTGGGATCGTTGCTTACTTGGTTCACAAGAAATGGGAATTTAATTCAAAAAAATGTCTTAATTCAACAACATATGGACAAGACTTTCGACAAAAATTTTCTTTTTTTAAGAGGTTTTTCCTCACATTTTTTGAGAAAAAGGTAAAATAATAAAATCTCAAAGTGTGAATACCAATCGATTCGTTATTTAATTAAGATGATTTACGAAGAATTTTTTACGAAAGTTTCCATTTTTGGCGGTTTTTCAATCGTAATTTGTTTAGACGTTGTTAAGGATCTTTAAGGCATGTTTAAAATATGTTATCTATTTTTTAAGAAATAAAATTAAATAATGGAAGCGGAGACATCCAATTTCAAAAGTATTATAAAAGGTACAAATATTTTAGATATGTTTAACTCAACCTAAGTAGAATTTCATAACCTGATTTCACTAAGAAAGAGATAAAACAACCTTAAATGGTAAATATATTATTGTCAAAAACTTTTCCCAATTCCCAGACCCACACACCATAAATAAGCAGAGCTATTGATGGCAAATAATTTATGCTAAGTCGACCCATCATTAAGGACGAACAATCGAAAGGCACATAAAGCATATTTGATGCTCATTGGCAAAGTTGATTACAAATACAATGGTGTATTCATGGCTGGTCACGGCACTGTCCTGCATCCTGCATCCCCCTCCAGGGACTCTTCGATAATTAATGAGTTTAGCCCGTGTCCTGGGATGGGTTGGGTTGGTTTGGGAAGTAAATGGATGGATGTGCCTAGAGAGAAGTGTTGCCATCATCGTCATTTGTTTATGCGTCTGTTTGCAGCTGTTATTTTATTCAGGCTCTCGCCTTGAAGATAATTTGCGCACGTGCTTCAGATTCGGTGAGAGTGTATTGGTTTGTGCGTCCTTGTTTGGCCGGAAACAGGATACCCACATACCCCTTCTTCGTACTCCAATAATTGCCAGGCATTTGTCTTGGGCGTATAGCCAAGTATAAACCAAATTACGGATTCGAATTTCTAAACTGGCGCCACAGCAACGGGGCCAATTAAAAATGTATGTTCCCTGAGTGCCAAAAAGGTGTAATAACAAATCAAGGATGAAGTGCGGCGCAGCTCAGTCAATGAATTTCCCGAAAATGGTTAGGAAAATTCAGCCGAAATTGGTTAACGGAGCTGCTTTGTATACTGCCTTGATATAATGGTTTCCTTTTCAGAATCATTTCAATTAGCATACAATTAATTGACAGATCTAAAAAGTAAGACCGCTCTTAACTTTTCATTTAATTCAATGGATCATTAATAATAAAGGTACATTAAAAATAAACAAATCACATTCATACATCACCAGAAACACTAATGAATCATATATGAAATTTAAATGCATAAATTAACCAACTGAAAATGGAAAATTAAGTACTGGTAAATCAGGTAAAGAATAATAAAGCAAAGACCGTATATGTCTAGAAATGAGACAAGTAAAGTTTGGCTTTGAATTAATGGATCATTAACAAATATAAATCAACCCCAGAGAACGGGAAAGGAAAGACTTTCTAGAAATTGGATGAACTTTTATTGTTTCTTTTGGAAGCTTTTCCATTATGGAAAGGCCGATCAGAAAATACGTAGCAAAACTACTCACTTAAATTTGTAGTCATCCGAGAGCCAAAAGATTAAGCCAACTTTTTATAAGTGGTCCAACTAAAACAACAAATTAATGAAAACTAAGTTGAACATTCCCAAGTTGCCAAAGTTTTCTCTCTCCCTCTTTCGCCCCTTTTCTCTTTCTCTTTCTCTGTCTCGCTTCTCTTGGCCTCGTTTCTGGCCATGTTGGAATCGGCAGCTTGAGCAGCCGCCCATTTCCACCATTTTCCTCAGACCAAAATTGATGAAAACGAAATTGATGTTGACTCCTGGGTGGAAAAGAAAGGGGGAGGAAGGAAGGATGTCGATGTCGATGCGGTTAGCGCTGCCTTTTTGGCCAAAATAACGGCGACTGGCAAACGGAATGGGGAAAGCTTTTAGCAGATACTTTACGCAAATCCCATGGGAAAACATTGGCCCACTTTCTGGCACAGCGGCCCCATCATTAAAAGTTAAAAAGGATTTTCAACGGATTTACGAATTTGAAGCTGAGCCCGAAAGACAAACAAAGCCATCAATTTACATATGCGAGCAGGTCAGAGCTGGAAATTTTGAGCTCCCAGACTGCTGGCAAGAAAATACAAAATTCAAGAAACACAATTTAAGATGCAGCCATCATTTTTGGCGAGGGCTGGTGCAGGGTGGACCTTAGAGACCTGGGTGGAACCGGGTTGACTAGGGTGGTAAAGGGTGGCTTGGGGCCACAGAAACAAAGCCGAGCCAAGACTGTCAAGTAGTCGTCGTCCCGCATCCACTTACGGCAGTCCCAGCCCCTCGTCCTCGGCCATTTCCACTCGTAGTCATCGTCGCAAGGACCTTGAGTTGTACCTTCCTTGCCTTTTGCCTTTGTTGTGCTAAACTTGTGGATTAGCTAAATGCAGGCAGGGCATGCCATGGCATGCAGGCGGCTTCATTCCGGTAAGCCAGCCAGCCAACCCAGTCAACAAAATCACCCACCCACCCAACCATGCCCTCATCCCCATCCCCATCCTGCCCCATAAGGACGCCCACTTAAACCTAAACATTTCGCCTTGTTGAGTTTTTATGAGCTGCTCATGTTGGCGTTTCACTTTTCTCTTATTCTTACTCGGTCTTTCATTTACTTACACCTGATGTTCAGCTTATTTTTACCTGCCCCTGGAGGAGCCCAGAATCCCCTTTCCAGCCACCCTTGCAACGAAAAGTGATGGGGGCTTCTTAATGACTGAAATTGTGCGTTACCATTATTTGGAAGAGTGGATGGCAGTAAATAAAAGACTGCTTATTTACGGATATTATGTGAAAACCCATCAGGCATATGAATTCATTAATTTTTAATGGGTTAGAAAATCATAGAATCAACAGACTTTTTTTTTAGGGAAAGAAATCCGATTTTGTTTCCCAACAAGATAATTTTAAAAACTTTTCTAATTGAAAAAGTTATGAATGATTTTATTTAATTTAAATTTTAAAAAGTTATCATATTTAATTTTAGATTTTCTTTTTAATTCTAATTTTTTCAGATTTCAAAAAAATATTTAAAATATGGCCGTACCAAAAAAATCGATTGTCAAAAAGGATTCGATATATATAGAAAATCGATTTAAGGAACGGTAACATAGATTTTCATGCAGCTGCAAAAATCAGCTGACTAGAAACCCGCCCTTAACAGCTCGACTTGAAATACAATAGAGCATCGGATTGCAGCTGTGTTTATAAGACTCTAGGATACAAACATAAATTACAGAAATATTCTGAGATATGGAGTTTTTATGGACTCTGGCGGTTATTCTCCTAATATATAGTGCAGATCAAACAAGTGGAAACTGTAATGGATCTTTAAGTTTGGAGAATGGCTTTTATTATAATACAGCGAAGAATTTTGTAATTTTTCGGTGCAATCACGGGTACACGCTGCAAGGAAAATCTTTTCAGTCCTGCGATCAAAATGGTCGCCTTCGGGAGGAAAAACCATTCTGTGCCAGTGAGTTTCAAGAGATTTTGAAACATATTTATATAAATTTCAATAATTTATACTGTTTGTTTCTCGTTGGTTCCTCCTTATAGCTAGAGGATGCGAAAAGCCCAAGGATCCTGAAAACGGACGTGTTCTAGATGATTTCTTAAAGGCGGAAATAGTGTGTTTAGATGGTTTTGTGGTGGTTGGAAATCGCACTGCCTTCTGCGATGGAGAAAAGTGGAGCAACCAGTTGGGATCTTGTCAAAGGAACAACCGCACCGCAGATCACTCCTGCGACTTTGAAAGCGAAGATCAGTGCGGCTGGGAGTCGGAGGAGCCCATCTGGGTACCATGGAAGCGAATTAGCGCGGCGACGGATTTTCACGACATAAGAACGGGACCCCGATACGATCACACGTTTAGCAACAATTCCGGAGGACACTACATGCTCATGGAGTCCCGAATTGAGGCTTATGGGAGCTATCATTTCATATCACCCATCTATCCGAGATCCCTTTGTGTACAGAAGGCATGCTGCTTTCGGTTCCACTACTTTATGTTTGGAGCTGGAGTGGATAGACTGGTGGTGTCCGTAAAACCCGTATCGATGCGAATTGCCGACATGTGGCACAGATTCAGGAACAAGTAAATTTATTCTCTTGAAATTATTAATTATTTTATTATATTAAATATATATTTATATATTTTCCCTTCAGTTGCAGCAAATTCGAGATGGCTGGCTCGCAGGGAACCCACTGGCTAGAGCACACGATCACCATCGACGAAATGCAGGAGGATTTCCAGGTGATCTTCACGGCCACGGATGCGAATTCCCAATTCGGAGACATTGCCATCGATGACGTGAAGCTGATGACGGGCAAAGATTGTGAAGTGAGTGGGTATACCACCACCACAGAACCAACGATATCAGCAATATCCAGCAGCGAAGATCCTTTGGTATTCGACATGATGAGTTGCACGGGTCGTTGTGGGTCCATAAGTCCTGGGAGCCCACTATTTTCCGATGAGGGTATCGTCATGGGTTGTGGATGTGATGATAAGTGCCTTCTAAACTATAATTGTTGTCCCAATTACTTCGAGAAATGCGTCAAGGGGCTGGATATAGGGTCAGATGGTGAACTAATCCCATCAATGCCAACGACCTCTTCACCACGGTCAACGACAACTGCGAGAGGAATAACAACTATTTCTCCAAAAACAACAAAAAGCAAAGCAACAACCTCAAAGACAACCATGCTTTTAACAACACCACGGACAACGAATGCAAGAAAATTATTTACAACATATGAAACTTCAACCAAAAGGGTTTATGCAAAAACAACCTACCAAATAACAACAACCAAGCCATTCACAGCTATTCGCAAAAATATTACAGGTAACCATTTAATAACATTGATATTATAATGATATTTTTCTTAAATATAATTTTATATTTTTGGTAATATAATTTCCTTTTTCGTATAATTGTTTCACCTCACATTGAACATAAATGTATCTATTTAAAATTCTCCAGAAACCGCTACCAATAATCGCACAACGAAGGGTAATTCCCAAGGCCACATGGAAATTAAGGGAGGTATACCCAGTCCCGCCTTAACAGTGATTTACCTGCTCGTCGGTGTAGTGTTGCTGATAGTTATGGCTAAATTGACACATCGCCTTTTCAGTACTTCAAGACCTATTCACGAGAAGGTAGTAAGTTTTAAAAAGGCATTTAAGAGACTGAGCAAACCGGGAAGATCAACCCAAAACTGGAACAGCATGGAACAGCAATTGTGCGATACCTCTAACGAGGACTTAGATTATGAGGATATATAAGGATCTGTAACTACCTGCAGTCACGGCAGACCACGTAGAGACAAATCGCACCGGAAGTGTGTGGGATTGCAATCCTTTTGAAACGCCTTTGACCAAACAAATAAAAAAGATCAAAAAATAGAAAGTAAGTAAATGAGTAGGGAAGCGTTGTTTCCAAATAATGACTTTATTCATTTGTATTTCTTAAATATTTCCTGAATTCCCTTTGTATATAATAAAATAACATTTAAATAAAACGCTATACAAAATATAACACCTAATTTTCATCTGCTTGACAAATGAAGGGATGTCCTTCTGAGCACGAAACGACATACATTGCGTAATTTTGAAGTGATACGCAGTGGTCAATGGCATTTTCGTTGTAGGGCTGAGAATCGCCCCAATGGAAAAAAGTTGGTTGCTTTCCGGAAGCGAAGGATACGTAATCGCCGCTTTTGGCCAGATCGTTGATGCCCAGCCAGTAGGAGTATCCCTCTTTGAGCTTCTCTTTGATTTCAGTTAACTCTTGTTGATTCTGAAAGGTCGCCAGATGACCACCCAACTTGCGACAGGTCTTTTCAGCGTCATTGAAATTCAATATTTTTGAGTTTTCGATGTAAAACAGCCTTGTGCCGATTAGCTCGTAATAATCATAGGAATTTCTTAATAAAATTTTGGAAATCATTCCCTGAAGATATACGCACTGGCTTTCGAACTTCTCTTGTAGCGCCTGCATTTCTGTCTGTAATTTCTGTAATTTACCCTCCAACTGTTCCGTCTTCCATGTGCTTTCTGCAATTAATGGAACTTTCTGCAATAGGCTTTCGATCGTATCCAGTTTTTCCAGAGTTTCGTTTAGTGTGACACCATGGGAGTTCCATTGCTGTATAGTCCTGGCCTTGTGATCAATAAACGGACGTAATGCTGAAAAGCAGAAGGCTCCGCACTGATTTGGAGCATCCTCTAGCACACACACCGATTGCGTACAATCCAGAAATCCACACTGATTAAATGCGATTATGCCAAACAAGAAATATTCAGCAAGCTTGATCATACTGAAAGTCTATAACCACTGAACGCGAACGTCGTTGATCGTCTGTTTTTATATTGACAAGCAGATTCTCGGGGGTATAATAACCTAGATGACATACTGATTTAATCTGTGAAAATAATTAAATACGAAAAACATTTATTTGCGCATAATGATTTCTGTAGAATTTATTACGAATCACAGATAATACAATCTTTGTAGCTATAAATTATAGCTAATAACAGATAAGTATTAATTGTAAATTTACACTGATAAGAATAAAATTAAAATATGAAAATCAACTTTCTTTCTTGGAACCCTGGAATTTTGCAAATAAACATACGGTATTCCAACGCAGGAGTTTGTCTACCTAACATACTTTTTCTTTGCCAACAGACAACTAATGGAATTTTAAATATTTTAAGAACTCAGGTAGGATGAAGAGTTTCCGACTTCTTTGTCTTTATTGTAGGTACATATTATATGCTCATATGTAGCTGAGTTTATCTAGCCTTTTCTGATTGTCTGTTCGTTCCTATGCAAACTATTCGCTTAATTCTTTGGATAAGAGGATAGGACTTTAAGTAACTCATTAAGTGTATAGATAGCTTTTTCAATATAAAAGTATTATATGGGACTTAATTTACAAGCATTGAATTATATTGTTGGACAATCTCAATTTTCACCTGTCCGAGAGTTAATTTCAGTGCCTTTTCGCGTTCAATAAATTCCCATCGAGGAATTCAAAGTCATTGATTGCTTTGGGGGAGAACTGTTCTCTGCGGATCCCACCCTTCCCCTTTTGCCATCCACAATTGAATGCATTTAATTAAAATACATTTGGACAGGACTCACGGGATTTCGTGCCCATCTGTGTGTGTCTCCTAATGAGGCCATTCGATGAGCCTCACATTCCGTTTCCATTCGATTGCACAACAACCGCCCGAAGGACCACGCCCCCAAGGCCAAGAATCAAAATCACTTGAATGCAATAGGCTGGAATAATTCGATGGAGGGGATGGGATGGGGATGACCCCACTGAACCGGAGACCAAGAAGGCGCTACTCAATGGGGCGTTAATGAAATAATTAACGCATAAATACAATTTGCTGGTCAGAGTTCAAGGAAACATGAAAACCGCCCAAAGGGCCAGCAAATTTTACCACAACTGCTACAAAGCCATCAATTTGCTAGCCCACTTACCATGGCCCCTTTCCACCCCTTTTAAGGATCCGATGAGGCAGCGAAGCATGCAATTTGCTGGCTTATTTATGGGGCCCAAGATGGTCGCGTTGGCCAAGAAGCAGTGGAAACTGGTAGCCACCCAGCCATCCGACGGAAGCATGAGCAAAACTTTTGCAAAATAAAAGTTTTCCGCTATTTGATTTGTTGGTCATTCGGTTTTCCAGCTTAGCCCCGAAAAATCTATTGAGCCAAAGCCAAGCGAACCAGTTAAAAGCATTAGCCGGAGATCGGGCAAAAGCCATAGTTACTCCCACAGAAAATGCAGCAGGGACATACATACATATAGTACATCCACTGACAATAAAATTCAGCAACTGTTTGGCTTGCACATCCTGCTGCGCTTTTGTTTGTCGACCAGCGAAAATTTACAATTTCTGGCGGGTCGAGGCAGGATGTTAGCCGTTGGCCAGGATGCGCTAGAAATGGCTTCACTTCCTCTCGCGCTGCTTTATAACCCACAGCTGGAATTTAAGGCCGCCTTTAAGGGCCAGTCCGCCGGTGGATTTGGATTTGGATTCACGTTTGATGTGATGCCAGCCCGAGATTGTTTGGCCAGGCAAACGAGTGGCTCTAAAAATAACCAGGCCGAGCTACCCGTTTCACTTGTCAAGAGCAGAGATACACAGCAATCCAACCACTCCTTCAGTGCTTTGGGGCCATTCGTGTCCTTTGTGGTGAAGTCACGGAAAAAAACATAGTCTTTCACTGGGCATTTGTTTTTTTTCACTTCCAGTTCTTATTTCGTTAATTTACTTCCTCTTCCTCATAATTGTTTTTTCTAATTTCTTAAAAAAACCTTCTTAGATTTGAGAGTTACTTAGACAGGATCAATACCTCATTTAAGACTGCAAGGTCACACTACAAAAAGCAAGCAATGTGACCTTACGAAATAAAGTGAAATAAAGGTAAGGAAATAAAATGAATAATATATGTCCTATATCCTACTTATGTATATAACGATCTTAAAACTATGACATAAATCAGATTTTTATTAGATGACCATCACTAATTTCCCTCAGTGCACAAAACAAGCCGTTTGCATGGGCCCGATTGCCAGAAAGCATATAATAATAAACATTATTATGACTGGCGCTGTCCGAGTTCGAGTCCCAGTCCCGGGCACATTGTGCTGACTCCAAACATGGGGAATCAGTTGGGTCCGGGCAGGATTCCGAGTTAAGAGCCTGGCTGCGCCATCTCCGGCATAAAGTTTCACCACGTTAAGTGGATGATTATTTGCGATTACAGGATGGCCAGCAAACGTACGTATACGAATACACGTATACGTTTGCGGATGCGAAAGCGAATGCGGGCACATCCTTGATGCGAAGGACACCGGGCAGTATACACATGGCTGGATTTGCTGGCAGTTTAATGAAGGTCCTTTGGATTTTACTGCCCCTCCAGCGGCCACTCGGTCCGCCATTTGATTTTTCCCCACCGCCTTGGGGTGATGATTATGTGTTAATGGTCATCGCACGCGTTTTTCCTTTTATATCGATTGCCAAATTGGCTGCTAACAATTGATGTATGGTGGCAATTACAAAACATGCATTACTCATCCAGTTTGCGAGTCCGGGCCAAAAGTTTCCTCATAAATGCGACTCGTAAATCTTTGTCGATGCTTTCAATAGTTTCCCCCAGTGCTTCCCAGCCCAGGACTTTCAACCCATGTTACCCGTTTCATTTCTGAGGGGAGCCGCAGCTGACCAATGGAGGCATTCAGCAACAGCCAAAGCCATAAACATGGGCCACCATTGTCCGATGGATGCGCAACTCTGGCTGTGACTGTGGCTCTGGATGCGGCGATATCTGGGAACGGGGAGGATGTGGGCATGGATCATTGTGGACGGCGGATGCAGAGGCACAAATCGTTGTTGGCCCAGTTTCGCTAAGTACAGTGCGGCCGAATTGCATGCATTTAAATTGAATGGGTAGGTGTCAGGCTTTAAGTTGAAATTAAACGCAATGTAAATATTCAGGACATGTGTGGCTTATTCATACCTCCTTTAATACTGCAAGGTCACACTACCCATAATCGATTAATGTGACCTTGCTTTTTTAAATAAAGTAAAAATAAGGAAATTCTTTTTATTTGATGAGTAATCTGAGTAAATACAATGAATAATAATATAATTAATAACAACCATATTATTAACACCTCACTTAAAGCTCACAATTTAATATTTTCAATCGATAAATTACTTTTATCGCTCACAGTGCTTGCGATGAAAAACAGAATCCACTTAATTTTAATTTACACCAGAATTTCGGGATAAATCATGGCCATGTCATGCATAAATTTACGATGAACAATGGCAAGAAAGCGGCACTTTCTCCATCTCTTTTCATTCATCGACGGGGGAGAAAGACGGAAGGATACAATATGAAAGAGAGAGGAGAGCCCAGACAAAAGAATTCGGTCCAATTAACGAACACAAGCCCAACATATTCTATGTATACTATGTACGTAGATTAAATCGAATAGACCTGTTTAATCAGGTTCAGGTTCGCTTGCCAATTTCTATGCTTTGCCTTCGCTTCGATTTTCTGGATTGCCTTCCCGTCGCCCACACCATTTTGCCATAAAAAGGAAATGTAATCTTCCTCTTCCCTGGGCGTCGTTTGTCTGCTCCGGCGACGCTTCAATTTAAGAAATTAATGCGAATTTCGTTTTTTTTTTACTGCCTGCCAGCGGGCGCGGCCAATAAATCCACGCCTCACACGCCCCGCGGCGCTCGGAGGACGTGGAGATAGACCAGGAGCATGGCAGATGACCTGGCTCCGGAGCAGCCCCGCCCAAAATTGAGCCAAGCCCCGGGTCTGGCCTCCAGGGCCACGGCAACAGCAGCGGATGCCTCGCAAAAAAAATTTGGCCAAAAAAAATACACGTTACGAAAGGAAGTTTCCCTCAACAGCAAGCCGAGCATTTGTTGCGCTATGAATTAATAATTCATAAAACAAATAAATTGGAAAAAATAGTCTATCTATGTGGAACAAAAAATCCATATGCATATTTAGCACATTTAAAGGGGATTACTATAACGCTGAACATTTTTAATAGCTGGCCTACCTGGCGTATGTGTAATTTTTATAAAAGTTAAAAAAATCACATTTTCTTTTTTGAGGCTTAAGGCGTTAAAACTTAAGTTTCTTTAAACATCAAAGCAAAAAGTTCAAAGCTTAAAAAAATTGTGTATGAAACACACGTCGTATGAGTAATATAATGTACAGAGTTCAAAAGGGTTCATACTTTAGAAAATATAAAATGTTTTATAAATAACTCATAAAAGAAAACAACAAATAATATTAAATTAATCGAATTGAAAAATATTTTTAAACCCCTTAAATAGTTTATGTACACAAATTTTAGGCATTTCCCAGGGTAAAAAGTACCTACATAAAAGATATTTCTCTAAAGACTTAATACTCATTCGCATTTTATAAAAAAATATTTTCAACAATATTTCGTAATGCCATTCATACCAAAAGCTGTATTTACGCGAAAAATTCACCGTGATATGTATAGCTTGAACAGCCAGCGTGGAATTCAACTTTTCATGCAGGTCCTTTTATTGCCGCGCCTGCCATTGTTGTTGCCCTTTAATTGCGGACATCAGGACACCGAGGCGCAGGCGGCGTTTTTACGGCCTTTTGTGCGGCGATCCCGGAGGGCAACGAGGAGGTCCTGGGGGCGATAAGGAGGCGGTGGCAGGAGCCAGGGCTATAAAACGGACAAAAACGAACGATGGGCGTGATGCAGTGCCTCCAACGAACGA